AGAGACGGAGGTGGCTCAGTGGCCAAGAGCTTTGACTGCTCCAAGCACACTCATGTATTTATTCACACAGTCTTTTACTCCAGTTTCAGGGCATCCTACATCCTCTTCTGCTCCATGGGCACTACATGCATATGGTACACAGACATGCATGCAGGCAAAACGCCCATGCACATAAAATAATAAAATAAAATATTTTTAAAAATGAAAAAAGTAAGCCAAATTCTGTGAAAATTAAATTACTCAGAACACACAATAAAGAGAAAACCCAAAATGTACCAAAAGAGAAAGATCCCTTGGATCAAATGTAAAATGTTGTGGATTAGAGACTTCTTAAAAAAACTGGCATTGGTAAGTACTAGAAACAGCACGGAGAGATGTGTCCTAGAGTCAAAGAAGGATAGAAACATCACAATGCATCCCTCTAACTCACAGAACTGCTATGTTGATACTTTGAATAAAAATGATGAAAATAAGAAGAGAGTGGAGCACTATGTTTAAATTGCTAAAAACCAATATACACTTTCAGTCTAGATCTCTACACTGTGAAAAGACAGTCAAAATAATAGTAAAATAATTTTTAATAAAAATATTTAAAGAACTAAACCATTCATGGGTATATATTCAAGAAATAATAATGTATGTTTGAAAGCCTTTTAAAGCAAATCCTTCAGGCAGACAAAATGTCATACTAGATAGAAGTCTGGGGCTCCACCAAAAATAAATAAAACACTGGGGATTGTAATTCTATGAGTAGGTATAATTCCCTTAACATATAAATTTCTTTTCTTTAAAAGATAACTGTTTAAAGTTCAAAACACATCACAATGTGGCTTAGGAAAGTCCATGTTACTCTAGGTTTGTAAATGACATTCATCATTTGAAGTGTGAATGCAATATGACAGCCAAATCCCAAATTATTATTTTGTTTTCTCTATTACATAAAGAACTCACATAGGAGCCAATTTCTAAATTTTTAAATGGAATTGTGTTACACATGTTTAAAATATTTTAGTTAAAATTGCACAATCAGCATCAAAGGATCTGTGTGCCACGCTGGAGAAACAAAATTGATATATACCGTGATGACTTGACTATTAGAGGTTTTATAATTGATACTACTGTGTACCAACAATTTGAAAGGAAGAAAGACTGGTTTTGACTCACAGTTTCAGATAAAATTTAAAAAGGAAGAAAGAAAGAAAAAGTAAAACCCTACCAACGATGCTATTGAGTTCATTTTGTGTTGGCCATCTACTGCTAGGCATTCGGCATACCCTTAAGAGCAGTTTGTTTCCCCAGTGAAATTCCTTGGAGAAAACTAAATTTCCATTTGCAAGTGGCTGTCAGTTGGACATAGCTTCTGGGTTAGGGATAGGAATATGTGTACACTTCTCCTTTTCTTGTACCTTTTAGCTGGGTTCCATTCTTTGTTTGTTTCGTCTACTCTGATGTATTTATTTTATCATATTATATTTTATGTTATATCATAGTATTTTCCTATACCTTATAAGTCCATTTTATAATGAGAGTCAAAGGGAGTGGATCCAAATGGGAGAGAAGGTAGAGAAGAACTGGGAGAAATAGAGGGAAGGGAAACCATAATCAAGATGTATTATATGAAAAAACCTCTACTTTCAATAAAAGAAAAATAATAAAAATGAGTATTCATCATTATGGGAGGATTTGGGATAGAAAAACAGAAATGAGAAATATTGTAATTGCATTATAATCTAAAAATGATAAAATTATATATCACCTACCAATAGTCTATTCACAATTTAAAGCCATCAATGTTTGAGACAACTGATTAGGGCAGAATCTTCATGACTTAATCATCTCTGAAAATGTCATCACAAACATACATTTCAGGGTGTAATCTGCTGATCTTCTAGGAATCTTTCAATCCAAATAAGTTGATAATCAAAATTAAACCATCACAACTTCATGTCCATGGGAAATTAGTTTCAGGAGCTTTCACAGGTACCATAATCCATGAATGTTCAATGTTCCTTACATAAAGTAGGATAGTAGTTACATGGAATCTTAAAGCACTAGTCTATGTATTCTTATCTGTAGATGAATTATAACATTAAACATAATGTTAATCTCCTGCATATATATATATATATATATATATATATATATATATATATATATAAAATTTAGGAAATGACAATGAAAATACCTGTATTTTCAAGTGAAGGGCATGGCTTTCAGAGGCCACAATGATGAGAGTTCAGTAATCTAGCTTCCTGTTGGAAAGTTCAGTCTGGACACAACTGTTAACTACATATAAAAGCCAACTCTTAAGAAACCAAGGAAAAAATAACAGAGGATAACAGGTTAATAATGTCCACAGACAACCCCAAATATGTATATTTCTTACTTTCATTTTCTTTTCATCTGAGTGCCTTGGGCAGAAGATCCTTTGTGTCACCTAATACACATTAAATAGAGCCAAGAAGCTCTATCTTTAAGAGTCAAATGGTTTAACAATGTGTAAAGACTTCCTCTCAGTTAGTTGTTTCCCTTTCCTTCACAAATTTTTCCCTCATTGCCCACTGCTATTGAACTAATTATATCCAGGGAACACTAAGGCTCTATGAGGGTAGTACTGATATTTACATTGTTCACTGATGTATTTCTGGTGCCTTTCCAAATGTCTTATATAATTCATGTTCTGTGAATTTTTATGTAACACTAACCAGTGATTTTTAGATTGTACTCAGTTAAAGTGAATCAATGTATCAAACTTAAGGTCTATATATACTTATAGATACTGTGTACTGCATGAAGTAAATTTTAAAATTAACTTTTATATTCTCCTTTTAAAAAAATAAAGTCTGAGGGTAACCAATGGTCCAGGAGCAATGAAACAGTCCGGCCCCTCCATTATCTTCACATACACAGAGAGGGGAAATTCCTAATGTTAGGAGTTCTGGGGCTATCTCCTAGGAAGCAGCTGTGATAAAGCCTGTTCATCAGAACTTCTGGAACATATGTGCTGCTTGTAAACTCCAATGCAGTGCCTTGTGTGAAAGGCAGATGTTTTGTGGTAATTCTCCAACACAAATATGACCAGTCAAAGAAAACACAACTCAATAATTATGAATATAAGCTGCACGCCTAGATTGGGCAGATTCACCACACTACTGTATTCCCCAGCTATGAGATCCTTATAACTTGCAGGTTTTCCAAGTCCTTCCACCTCCTGCACCTCAGTCATCTTCCTCCTCCATTCTCTTCCTCCTCTGTAGTTCTCTCTCCCTCTGTCTCTCTTCCCACCAACCTTTATTTCTCCACCCCCCTTCTTTGCCCAGTTACTGGCTCCAGCCTTTATTTTACAAATTAAGGTGGGCAGAAGGTTCATTAGAAATCACCTGTGTAAGGATTCACTCCTCCTCTGCAGCCCCTTCCAGGAAAGTGGAATTAGCATCAAAACACAAGGCGAGGGCTATCCACAACACAGATGGATGTTAGTTCCCTTAGTTTTTATGTTACTAACACTTTAAAATTTTATTTTAATTGAAAATAGATTTTTTTTCATAAAATATGTTCTGGTTATGGTTGCCCTTCCCAGTCTTCATAGATACTGCAGAACATAGACTATGCAGCTCACCAAGTAAGGGAGCAGCTAACCAGCCACAGTGAAACTTCAAAAATAAAATTAACTGAATCATCTCTCATGTGAAAATCCTGGCATGGATTAATCTCCATCATAAAAAAGCTTCCCTCACTCTTAGCTTCTTTTCCACCCAAATTACTATGTTCAATCATTTACCAACATGACAAATCCAATTCCTCCTTACGGTTAGCCAAATTGCACTGGAGATAACTGAATTAAAATGTCATCTCAATAGTGAGCTCTGTCTCTCCTGACTAGATGGGCTGAAGAGGTCCTGGCTTGAAGTTCTAGGCCTTGCTTTCCCATGATTCCTTCTTATATGCCAGGGATCCCTTGCAGAGGGACTAGGTAAACCATGCAAGGCACTTGGTGTACTCAGTCAGAACTCTCATCCCTGCCCCAGGACAGGGATTCTGTCTGCATATTTTGTGTTTGTGATTTGAGATGACTGCATTTGCTACTCAAATGTTCTACCACTTAGACACTCCCAGTCTGATTGCTCCTGCAGTGTGCACCCCCAAAAGAAAATGCTGAGACCAGTTGCTCCTCCTCTCACCTGAAGACAGTCACAGCTCCCAAGGGCCTGAACTTAGTTACCTTGCGGTATCCCTCCCCCACCTCCCAAGATGCCTTGTGGTGTCCATCCCAGGAGGCCCCCTCTGCAGTCCTGCTCCTGTACTAGTGCTTGTGGTCTGAAAGGACTTCTCACCATCTTCACAGGGCCATGGCTCCTACACTCACCCCATCTACTTGAAAGGATGGATCTGATTCTCCTAACTGCTAACACTTGCAGCCTTGCACAGGTCATATGCTTAATGAAAGTTTGGAGCATGGAAGCCCATTTACTATACTTTATTTAGGTTAGAATTTAATTAGTTAACCAGAATAAGAGACTAAAGATAATAAGGCAATTATTAACAATTATTATTCTTATTCTATTATTAACAACTTTATTGTTTATCCAGTTCTTCCTCATAGCCCAGGAAATAACAATCTCAACAGCACAGTGTCTTGTGACAGATTCCAGATCAGATGGAAAACATCCCAACTTGTTTTACAAAATAGCAATGCTTTTTCAACATGGATAAACAGCAGTAAGTGCGTGACTAATACAAACTGGAAGCTTAAAACTCAGTCTAATGAGCCTTCTAGTAAATGTAGCAACATTTTAGAATACTAAAAGGAAAAATCCCTGAGTCACCCAAACAGAACAGTGAGAGTGGGGCGGGACTCACACTCTCCTCCCACCAGCTCTAGATTGAGGGTTCGATGCTTAGATCACTGAGTCTACATAACTTTATCTGAATTAGGAACTGCAAATGCACTATAATATGTGCTGTTCAGAGCAGTAGTATCAGGGGCCAGGCTTTCTAGCCTATTCCTGCTGTTCCTCATCTCTCAAAGCCTCTGCATACCACATTGGGTATGATCTGGGATCACTACCATTGATGCTAGTCAAAAAGGTCAAGATTTTCATCTTGGTGGTTTCAGCATAGGCTCTTGGGCCCCAGAGGAACTCATAAGAAGGAGGGTGGCTGCCAGGCACCTGCCTGTACTCCAAGAACCCTTCTTGTACAAAATCATCAGTGATGAGCTTTCTGGGTTCTCCATATATAAAGTGTTCATTCCCAGCATACAAGCCTATGTTATTCAATACACCCCATACCATGTCCTCACTGGTACAGTTGCCTTCCATGAATATTATGCTCAGTACCATGATCAGGAGGCCTGTCTTAGGTATGCCCTGAACATCAGTCATCATCCCATCATAAGTGAGCTCTAGGGCTATGGTAAGGATATAGGTGTGGCCAGCAGGATCTATTTCCTTTAATTCAAGGCCAAAGACTAATTGCATGCACTCTGAGGCTTCTCTAAATATAACAGCAAAGTGGTCCTGATAATTTCTAATGATATTACTCAGGATTTCTGCCTTGCTGACTGGCTCCTTCATAAGATATTTAAAGAGCAGATATTTTACCAACTCATCTACTTTGACATCTATCTCACCTGTAGACAATGAAGCACCACCTGGAAGAGCCTGTGAGGCACCTGGGCTTTCCTCACCTTCGGAGTCTGCACTGACTTGGCTACATGGAGAGAAAATCATAGCAGTGCAGGAGGAGCAAGCTCCTGGAGTACTATGAGGACTTGATGCCCTAGAAGCAGCAGAGCCCTCCTCTGAGTTGCCTGACATTAGACTATAGGAAGAAGAGGTAGAAGAGAAGGAAGAAGGGAAAGATGAGGAATAAGTAGAAGAGGATGAAGAAGAATCTTCTTCTATTGAAACTGCAACACTCATTTGGCCCTCTGTCTCACTTGGGGCTTCAGACTGTCCCTCGACCATACATCTCCTACGCTTCCGAGGTCTAGGCATGATGATGACTCTAGTCTTGAACACCAGGCAGGAGCTTGATGATACAGACCCAGAGACCTAGGGGAAGAAGGAGACAGTAGAAGTATTCATTGTTGACAGTTATTCTACTGGAAATGTTCACAAAATGCCAATAACAAGCTTTCTATTATGTGTATTCTAAAGCGACAAGGAGTCCTGTTTCCCTGTCACATCTGTCTCTTGAGAGACTGAGGGGAGTAGTGAAAAGTTTCCTCAGACTGAATATGGGGTAGAGTAGAGGCTTCAGGGTTGCCAGAAGTGTGCATGAGGCTAAGCAAAGAGTTTTGGGGTACATGTGACATATTCGTAGTTTGCACCTCAGCTTTACTCTAGACCCTGCCTGGGCTTTCCCTGATGAAATCACCTCAGATCAAGACCCTTACCTAGCTCCTGTGAGAGAGGATGAAGCACCCCACAACCATAGACTGCAAGGCCAATACTGGATCCCCATTCCAGACAGGATCCTGAACTGCACTGTGAAGAGTTACCCGATTCTCAAATTACCTCTGTGCTCACTGTAGGTTCTCCCTTGTATCTTGTCAGGGCCTGGACTCTACCTCATCTACTGGCCTAAAGCAAACTCCTGGACCCCATCCTCCTGCTGGCCTGACGCAAATCCCTGGAACAAATTGCCCTCCTCTCTGAAAAGGCAGTGAAGGTGCCTTCATCTTGTAACTATTCAAGGCAACTGGAAAAGGTGCCCAGTTCAATGTGGTTCATAAGTAGAGGGTGAGGGACCTGGCCAACTTTCAGCTTTATGGCTCTGCTTCCTGTGATGAGCTGAGGCCACATGCCTTAAGCAAAGGCCCACTCCACTGAGGCAGAGGAAAGGAAGGGAGGGGAAGAGAGGGAGAGTAACAAATAGACCTGTACTTCATAGGATCTCGCAGCTGGCAGAAGAGTAGGTGGGGGCTGGATCCCATCAGTATAGGTGACTTGACTCACTCAGTTCTTACCTTGAGTACTTACTGGTCGATCTGAGCGCCTCCCTCTGATGACTTCAGTCACAGTTCCTTTAACCAGGGTCTTTAGATCTCTGAGACCAATGTCTTAAATCAAGAAAAGGGATCTGACAATCCTGCCCTGGAACATGGGAGTCACAGGAGATAAGCTTCTGTGGGTCCTCTGTCTGTGCTCTGAACTGGAGTTATTTTCAACCATCCCCTGGGTTTCCCACCTACTCTGATGATAGATCATGGAACCACTGCAAATAACCAAGGTTACACACTCAGATCAAGTCGTCAACACCAAGGGAGCATGAAAATAATCAGGAGGTTTGAGCAGGTACCCCCATTGCTTCTATGCTGAGTGGGATCCCTAGAGATGCCTACATGGCCCAGATTAATCTCTGTTGTGTCCATTTAGTGCAGCATCTTCATCTGATCTGTCCTTCTGGACAGGTTCCCTTCATACTAGTACTCCTCTTTCCCAATAGTCCCACCTTCCCACCTTAATTAGTTTAAGAAAGCTTGTCAATCAGCTTTCCCAAGGGCTGATACCAGGACACAGCCAGATAGCAAAGTCCCTTCTTTCTGGCTGCAGAAACATGCAGTCATCATAAGAGGTCCATGTCTGAGATCTGGCTCATCTGGGTCTCTTCCCTTTACTCAATATCTGAAGAAGACCTTACTACCAAGGTCTTTACATCCATGAGACCTCCTATCTCCAGTCACTGAAGGGAAATGCGGCCACAACAACCACCCTTCCAGAGCATCCTAGGCATTAGAACAAGGGCAGAACTTGTATGGGGGATGATGGGTACTTTCAGATGTTCAGTTCTTACCATGTCTGCTCACCTTGATTGCTGGCAGATGCTAGACACCTACTCTGGTAACCAGGCGTGGCTCTCTCTGCTTCTCTGGTGATCCCACTTACTCAGTCTCAACTTTCTGAAAGACAAAGAAGTTAAAGTGTCATCTGAACAATCTTCAAGCATTTCTCAAGACTGGTAGAAGGATCAGGAGTCTATTCTTGTCTTGAGGATTCTGAAGGATTTCCTATTTACTTCTTACAAGGTGCCTGCTGACCCTCACATCTATCATTCAGGCCCAGACCACCCTTGCTCCCCACCTTACACCCAAATATAATTCATAATCTTCCGCAGATTAGTCTGGACATACAACAGGGGCCTTCATCTCAGAACAAGGCCTGATCCTCCCTAATACTCTGCAGGTTGAAGAATAAGTGTACTATATCAGGTTACTTTGCTCACACCTGAAGGGAGTGTGGAAGTCTAAGATCTGAATTGCAAGGGACTCATATCTAGAACTGGGCCCTACTAGGTGCCAGGTTGCATTAACTGAGCACCCTTTGTCCAGAAAATGTCTCAAAAGTACACCTTCATTAGTTTGAATGGTTATTTCCCCTCCGGGAACCTTACAAATATCTTTAAGTTCCCAAGTCTCAAGATGAGGAAGTAGAAGGGTAGAAAGTACCTCGTGCTCAGTGCATACTTGGTGCCACGCTAATCAAAAAGGTTAACTTGCATTGATCAGAGAGCTTGTAGCTAGAATGTGAACACTATAGTCCATGCAACTCTCTTAAAAAAGCACAAAAGCCTTTTCATGGCCACATCTTCTCTAGGAACTTTACAAAAAGGGTCCAGGTCACCGCAGCCACAGATATGGACATGAAAGAGTAGTATGGTAGGGCTTACTCTTGTAAGTCAGAATATGGACCACCCTCAAAGCTCCAGGACCTCACAAAAATAACTCCAAGTACCCCAGGTACCTGGTTGTGGATGCTAAAGGAGAGAGAACTTATTTCTGTACTTCAGCCAGGTTTTTAGGGCTATATACAGGTCATGGTTTGGCATACAATCCCTGCCTTTCGATCTGGGGTGGGGCTTCTGCAACTCCCTGCCTAGTTCCTACCATGACTGAAAGACATCGGTGCTTCTCCTCTATCTGAAACACCTAAATGGCTCCAAGGTGCCGAGTTCTGTGAGAGGAGCTCTTCTCCTAGTGGATTCCAACTGAATTAGCATTTGGGTACCCTTCAGATAAACGGAAGCTTCTGCATTCCACTTACAACTTCCAAATACACTCTGAAAAGAAAGTTGCCATCTGTGTTAAAGACCTCTAAACATCACTGTTCCCATATTGCCCCCAGTGACGGACTGGGCAGAGGACTCAAAAATACCACTGGCTCACAATTTAAAAGTGCTCACCACAGGAGTACATCTAACAATTTGAGGTTCTCTGTTCTAGGAGTGCCAGACCACTTTCTCAAGTCCAGTCAGACATTAACCTTGGGCAAGAGAAGGATTCTTACGTGAACCTCCAAGTGGGCCCCACCTAGTGCCATGCTAACCAAATGGGTTAAACTGCATTATTTGAACACCATCTATCCTGAAATGGTCCTTTTCCACCCACCTCACCTCAGCAGAAGCACTCACCTCAACACTGAAAGCGTGGTGAGTCCGCTTCCAGCGTCCCCACAAAATGGCGCTGAACCCTCAATGTCCCCGGATGCAGGGGTGGGGGGAGGAACTCTTTTCTGCAAGTCAGCACTGAGTCAGCTTTCCGAGCCCCGTGAATCTCACAAAATGGCGCTGAGCCATCAATGTCCCCGGATGCAGGAGGGTGGGGAGGGGCTCCTTCCCACAAGTCAGCACTGAGGCAGCTTCTGGCTCCATGAATCTCACAAAATGGCTGTGAAACTCCCAGGTACCCAGATATAGAAGCCTGGGGAGAGGCTCATTCCCACATGGCAGCCTAGGTTTTATGCTTGACCTCCAAAAGGCAACAATGTAACTTAAACAAGTGTATCTAGGGTAGCTCCCGAGACACACTCTCAGCTCCGGTCTGGATTCAGAAAGTCACGTGGTCCACTCCTCTCTGGCAACCTCTGAAATTATTCCTATGACAGTTTCTACCCAGAGGGAGGAAAAGGGGCTCATTTACGTAAGTGACCCCTATTTGGTGCAGTCTAGCAGAGCTATATGATGTTGTGACTTTATAATAAGCTTCCATAGCCCATACTCTTGGGTCTTACGTTCTCCCCTACGAACAATACTCCCTTCTTCCCCTCCGAGAATGTGTAAAAATAGCACCCCAAGAATGGAGGAGCTAACAATTAGGGCACACTTTATGCTAGGCTAACCTGACGGGTGAAATTACATTGTTTAAAGACCTTCTGACCTTGAAGGTTGCCTTTACAGTCCACCTTAAGCTTTCAATCAACTCCAAAACTACAACATAACTGTCTCCCATCCAGGATACATTGGAAAATGCTTTGAGTCCCCTAAGTCTTCTGATGAGAATGCAAAACCCTGGGAAAGAATTCATTCTCACAAGTCAGTCTGGATTTGTTTCAGGACCCTCAAAAGGATACTGTTGGAACATGGTCCAGGAATGGAGTTGTATGGTGAGAATTCTAAGTGCTTGGGAGAAAATTCCAAGAAATAATAATAATAATTAATAATAATAATAATAATAATAATAATAAAAGAGTCTTATGATCTCACTTTCTTCAAAATATGTAATTGTTCTTGGAATGTGTTTTCAGGCCCCTCCCAAGTGCCACAGATAGGAATGTGTTTACTTTAGATGTTGTTATTCACATACCTTTATGGAAAAATATGTTTTGGCCACATTTGGCTTGTCATCGTGATTGTACAATTTACTACAATGATGGTTCTTAACCCTCAGCAAATAAACTGCCTGGTGCCCTGAATAAAGATGGCTATTTCAATATATTTTATTTTGCCTCAATTTTAGGCCCTGCTTGCCCAGGTTCCCATGACCAAATAGAGCAGAAAACAGATACAATGTAGCTTGATTTTCTGGGCCTGTATATCTGGGATGAGGCTTTTAAAATCCACTTCTAGAGCTCATTAAGTACTCTCCTATTAGGAAACATCAGAAATGGTGGTAATGGACATAATTGTCACCCACACCCAAGGAGGAGCCTAAAGGGATCATTTTCACAAGTGGATTCTGGTGCAGCTCAAAACACTATCCATCTTATATTATCTGGAG